AGAAATTATTAAAAATTAAATTATAAATTATTAAATGTTAATGTTTTAGTTTTAGATACTTTATTTTTAAAATACTTTCTTTTTTAAATTATAAATTTTTAAATACTAACATTTTCTGGATGTTTTCTTTTCTTACACTGATGATATTTGTAAGTTCAAACTCACATAATGGAACTTATGGGTAATTACAAGCATATTTCCGATAGTTTTTTCCAAGAGTAAACTGAAACCAGAAAAACCCTGGAGGAAAGAGTTTAGGTTTGGACTTTTTGTTTCAGTATTAAAACCAAATGTGTTTTGTAACTACTGTGAAGCTCACTATTAGAAATATTAGCATCTTTCAGAAAAAATTATTTTAACTGTGATTGATGTTTTTGGCTTCTCATTTTTATAACTTACCTGTAGGAGAGGAAATTCCAAAATAGTGCACTTATCCTTTGTTCCTAGGAGAACAACTGCAATTCCATATTGTAAGAACTGCCCCAGGACTGGGAAATGTTACTGTTGAATGGAAGATAATTGGGCATAACGTAAAACAAAATTTTGAAGACTATTCTGGAATACTCTTTTTTCCTGAGGTAAGTCCATAAGCAAAGCTAATGGCTAGAGGAGAATATTGTAATTAGAACTGAGCTTAGGAAACGAGTGTGCTTTTATAGCAGTCTTTGTTTCTTGATCTGATTATTTACTTGCTCCTTTACTGTTGGAGTTCTAAACTGGAGGGAGTTTATAGTTTTTCATACTTTAACTTTACATTTCTCAAAGGTGTTGTTCAAAATGCGTATGATGATACAATGGTATTACTTGTATTTTAAACAGTAATGACTAATCACTTTATCAATAAAATTAATAGGAGACATTGAATACAACATTATATGTTCACTTGCTGGATGACCATATTCCTGAAGAAAAAGAAGAATACCAGATCATCCTATACAACATCAAAACAGAAGGTAATGCAGAACTATAGCCTGCTATTATCTTAAAACTACCATTTAGTAGTGTAATATTTTCATACGTATTAATCCATTTTTGGAAGTGTAGGACTAAGCATACTGCAAGTACTGTAAACTATGCAAAGTTCATTTACACTTTGTTGAAACAGACTTGATCCTTATGTGTGTATATGTGTGTGTATATATATATATATAAATCCCTCAGTGTCTTTGCAGTTTTCCTTAATTGATTTTAAACCTGATTTAACTCTGCCTGTTTAATTCAGTGGTTATTTGCTTCCCTTTAACTGAATATAAACCTGAGCTTAATAATGTATTCTGGATACGGATGCCATGAAATAAAACAGATATTTTTATCTTTTAAAGCAATCTTATTATACCACAAGCTGACTTTCTGATCTATCTCTGAATTCAAGGAAGTAAGAATATTTTATTCTTGCCATGCAAATTATAATGAGAAAAGAAGCATGAAACTGCATCCCATCTGAAATACCCCTTATTAAACTGAAATTAATGTCCAAACACCAAATTAACTTAATATGGATTGTGTTGCTGCTAGATGGTTTACCAGCTTGCCAGAATCACTTGTTGACTCTTGTAATCCATCAAGATAAGCATAAATAAATGCACCGACAACTATCCATCAAGGGAACACTTGGAAAAGGGAATAATTTCTTAGCAGAATGATTGAGAATTTGAATGTATTTTTAACTTTCGAAGTTAATTTCTGGGAAAACTTTCTCTTTCCTTTTACAATAGAGGATGTG